AAGGCTGGACTTGATGATCCTGGAGGTGCTTTCCAACCATAGCGATTCTATGATTCTATGGAGGGAACCATGTGCGTGTGCTGAGTTACAGGAAAATCTTTGTTTCTAACTCTAGGTCCTTCTTCAGTTATCAGCAATGACGACGATTCCGCCAGTCCCCTCCACCACATCTCAAATGGCAGTAACACTCCATCTTCCTCTGAGGGGGGCCCTGACGCAGTCATCATCGGCATGACAAAGATTCCTGTCATCGAAAATCCCCAGTATTTTGGAATTACCAACAGTCAGCTCAAGCCAGACACCTGTAAGTACAAACTGTACATGTTTCAGTCATTCATTTTACCTGTGTAAAGTGTTGGGGTTTCTTAAGTGAGTTAGCAGAATAAAATGCTCTAAATTTCTGAGGGTGGAGGGGTGGGGTTAAAACATATGAGATTTGTTAAAGCTACCTGGGATGAACTGCTTTACGTCTGTCAAAGTCACATTCAGCCCTTGTGATGAGTGAATGAAATCAGCAGTGTTACATTCAAAACCCAGTCCATATCCCATGAAAGTTACCGGGAGCCTTTCCATTGATTTCAGTGGGTTTTGGCCGGTCCTGTGCACTGAACGTATTATTTCCTGGGAGAAAACAGATCCTGGGTCAGAAGTCAGTATTGTTACATACGTGCTGCTTTTCAGTTGGTCGTATTGGCAAATAACATAACCTAACTTCGAAATCTGAGGATTTGTAAAGTTACAGGGATAATAATGGTTAAAACTTAAAATCTTTTAATTTGATTGTATAATTCAACCTCTACAGCTGGAAAAGATGTTGAATATTTAAAAACAGAGCAGAAGATTGCATGATGGGCAATGTATGTCCCATACAAATTCTTTCGAGTTCAGTTAGAAGCAGGTGAAATGTGAAAAAATATAAAAAGTTAAACATAATTAACTATGGATAGTTTAAAAAGAGTATCCTTAACTCCAGATGCTACTTTTCAAAGATGGTAACAATTTTAGAATTGGCCATGTGAAATGTTGATTTTTGAACCAGTAATAAGCATTGCAGCGGATAACTGAAAAAATTCCTAAAGGCTATTGTGATTAACAGCAACTGCACTACTTCCTATTTTTCATCAGTACATTAAGGTCTTTAAGTGATTCAGAGAAGGTTGTTCTGGCCTCTTTTTTCCACTTTTTTTTTTTTTTTTAATGCAAATGTACTTACATTTCTGAATTGTCACTGGAAATCTGAACTGTTTCTGGACTGGGAATTCACTCTAGAGATTCCCAGCGTAGCTGCTGAGCACTGGGCTTGCAGCTCAAGGATGCTACATCCTATCTGTGTCCTGCCCTGAAGTGCTGTCGCTTCATAGCAGAAACTGTGATCGAGGCTCACTGCCAAGATCAGAAACTTCTGCCTCAACTGTGCAAAACTGAAAAGTCATAATAGGAATCTTTCTTGTGAATGTTAGATGCTCATCTACACCTAGATTGTTGCACTAAGCACAATACACAGAAGGATGTTCCTGCAACGCAACAGCAGGAACAGCAGGTCTTTTTCTGACGTTTTATTGTACATCCCTGGTGTTCACTCCTATCATTGCTTTTTTGTGTGGCACTATTCTATGATTAGAAATGCCCTGTTTTGTCTTCTACCAGAGGACATTTGAATAATCTGGTGTAGCATACGCAGTGGGATGCATAAGGTAATGACTGAATTGCTGATACTCGATCAGCACAAGGAAAATGTTATACAGATGCATTCTGATTAGAACATTAATTCCTGTGAAGAATAGAAGCCACTAGGGAAACAGAAATGGGCAAAATGCCCACAAGAGCTCTCTAATGTTATATAAAAGGCCATGCTTTTAAATATGAGGCTACTGTACCTCCGTTCCTAGCTGCATTAGACAACATTATAACTGTTTAAATAAATATTAGTGACTACAGAGTATTTAACTTCCATCATTAATGTTGAAACAACATACATGCTGTTCTGGGGAAAAAAACAGACAGTATGAAAACATAGAATTCTCTCACATTTAGTAAGCTGCACATTAAGTACAGACATATTAAATCACAGCTGACTCGTGCTAAGTAGGTTCTGATCCTAAAAATACATAGGTCTGTGTTTGGTTTTGTGTGCTGCAATGAAACCCACATGGTGTCAGGGAAATTAATGACAGTACGTGAAGTTCACTTTGTGCATAAATGCTTGCAGGATGCAGCTCAGAACTTTGCTATGGTGCTCTGGGGAGGTTTGTGGGACTAATGCTCTGCATTCTACCACAGTGTCATGGTGGTCCCAGTCCTTGTGTTTTTATTGCTTTAGCAAAGAGAATCAGATAAACTGACAATGTACAAACCAAGGCAGATTTCTCCTCCTGCTTTGAGTATCTGTCCAGTAAAAAGTGTAATTAAAAATAGTCTTGGATAAAAATGGTCTTCCTAGAAATAATTTAACGTACATTCTCTTTCCATCTCTCTCTCACTCTCTTATTATGAGAGAGCTGCCCTTGTCCTTTCTTAACCTGCCAGCTTCCTCCTGATGTCTATATCTGGTATTTATAAACCTCTAAGCTAAGTAGCTGTCATACCTTTTTCCTGTTTACAGTAATGTCAGCTCCAGATGTCATCTGGTTTATCATGTCTAGCAAGATAATTAGCATTTATGTTTATTTTGTATCTGGTCTAAGTTCCATTGTCTGCAAGCATTAAATACAGCAATGCCTGACTCTCTTGCTGGAAAAGATTCTCATGTATTTAGCTTATATTGGTCTGTGGAAGGAGGTAAGACTTCAGGCTAGGTGTAACTGCACACATTGCAGTGCTGTTTTCACAGAAGTTGGAGGATTATGTCTGCTGTGTGTAGCAAGTGGAGTTTCTTTTTTGTTAATGTACTTATGCCATGTTTTGACTTGTCTACAGATAAACGTTTCTGAATACAGTGAATGAAGCTCCATTGCAAAGTATCAGAAGTGTTTGTGTTTAAAAGAAAATGTAAAAGTTTATTGTGGTCAATTTTGTTTGAAATTCCATCACTGTATCAGTAAATTGGTACTTCGGCTACTGAATAACTAAATCCTGGAGAGTGATGGTTTCTAAAGGGTCAGTCTCAGGCTAAAAGTTATAGCACTTTCCTCCTCTTCAGAGACAGCTTTCAAGGTGGGAAAATGAAACTGGTGATGACCAAAGACCTATCATCTTGAGTGGTCAGGTTTCAGTCATCACTCATAAGGACTGAATTTCTGTCCCAGGTTTCAGGACAAATGCACATCTGTACCTTTAACTGACATAATGGTGGAAAATGACTCTTCATCTTCCAACTGGGATTGACTGTTATTTCCTACTCCTGCTGCTTATCATGTTAACTCCCCATTTTCCTCGCCAGCAAACCCCCTGATGCTTCTTCAGCACTTACCTGTCTGACAGCCTATCCCAGCACCCCAGCTTTTCCTGTCTCTGTCATGTACCCTTGGTTGCTGCTGGCTTGTGGGCTCATCTGTCACTCCAAGGTCTTACATATGTCCACCTTGAAAATATACAGTCTCTGGTGCACAGACATGTTTCAGACACATAGCAGACTCCTTGGTTCCTTTTCCGTGTGAAATCAAAAGATATTTCCTCTTTGGCAGTACTTGGCAAACAGTGGCCACTTTGATTTCGGATGTGTGAGAGAGAGTCCACAGTCTGGATGTGGTGAAATGCTCATTGCACTTAAGTCATTATAAATGAGGTTGTGTTGTATTACCATCCACCTGCAAACCTCTTGCTGGGCTATTACTAACAGTGTTCAGTTGTTACTGTTGAAATCAGGCCATAACTTTGTAGTCAAGTAACATCACCAGGTGCAGAGACCTTGCAAAGATTTGTGACCCCTGCAATCAACTGAACGATGCAGTATCTTGTGGGCATAGATAGTAACTATCACTAGATCATTAGTTTCACTAATCTTATGAGATGTCACAGCCCCTAAACTATTTGGTATTTTCACTAATATCATTATATATATAAAAAAAAAGTAGTTTTCTACATCTTTGCACAGAAATTGTAGTTCCTAAAGTTGCCAGCCAAGCCTAACAGACCTGTTGAAACAGGATAGAAGAAACAGCCATTTTCCCTATGAATGGCTATGGACTCTCTTCAGTCATCACTTAGGTGCAGTGCAGCACTTGGAATATATCATCCCATTACTATTACATTTCTGTGATTAATGATGAAAATGCAATCAGTAAGTACCATTAATGTGAGAAGCAAAACCTGAGGAGAGGACATGTATAAAACATGAGTGGAAGTGCCCAGGTTGAGACTCTCAGGGCAGAACTTGGGTAAGAAACTGTTTGCAGGTGGTTTGGGGATTTTAGGTATCAAAATGTTCTCTGGATCTTACTCCATTATTCCCCATCCCTGAAATCACAGTGGTTGTTTGGCTGCAACTGAAAGGAAGGCTGGAGCTTTCCACTTTCATGGAGAAGTTTGCAAACTCCAGGTTTCGGCCCCGTGAGGGTGGCTAAGTAGCAGCTGCACTGGCATCAGTTTGTTCATAGTAGCTAATCTGTACTTGCAACTCACTCAGTTTCATCCCTAAAGATATTATCAGTGGTGGAAAAAAGTGTACTGGGCAGGCTTCTTGATTAGTTAGTTGGTGGTTTCGTGGCAAGATGTTTTCAGTGGCTGGTCATACATGCAGCCATTGTGTTCCAGATGGTGTGGTGTGGATTGTGGCTTGCATATAGGAAACTTGGGTATATTCATTAGATAGTCTCAATATTTCATCTATATTTCTGCCATCTGGGATTGCGTTCCTTCAAGTGTAGGAGTGTGAATGTGCAGTTTAGATAATAATTATTGTAATTCCAGTTGGCTTCTGTTAGGGAAAGTCTGCAGTGGGAAAGTCTGTAGCTCCAGTTCGACAGTAAAATCCCATTTTGAACACTGAACTTTACAACTTATGCTCATGGATTTTCATTTACATTTTAGGGATTGCTTCACCATTTAGATAAAGGTGATCTCAGTCTTTTTCTGACTTGCTCTTTAACTGTGGATTTCTTTTTAACATGTACATAGCTAGACTTTGGTTGTCCCCATTAGGCAAGAAAGTTGCAGAAATGCTCTGCCTCAGTTCACTACCTTTTTGAATGACTTTTAAGGAAGAAAAGAAACAGGAGTGTTATTCTTATCATTTTATCATGACTCCCACAGTACTTTCATAGGTCGTGGAGTCTGGTGATGATGTCAGATTTCATTTTAGAGTGAAAAAAATGTGAAGAAAAGCTTGAGTATGTGAGCCAGACCCCAGAAAACTGAGCTAACAGA